TTTTCGCGCACTCGCTTGAAAACACCTCAAGAAAAGGAAATAGTGGTACGCAAAAAACACTCAAACACGGTCCAATTCCAGATACCAACTGAATTGCGTAGTGCCGGACAGCTTAATACCTCGTGTTATCCGCCGTGCCTTTGTCACATTGCTCGATACAACAAAACACTCCGACATGGTCGAATTCAGATACCGCTTATTATTTTTTAGAATTAAGCATAAAGAAGTTCAAAAAAGTGATAAACATTGTATTTTATGGTATTCTATGCACGCAGTTACGTCAATATTCCTTAAATAATCGAATTTTTATACATCAAGTAAAAAATCAATTGAAAATTAAATTACACTATATCAGTAGTTTGCCTGTAGAAATGGAACAGCAGTTTGTTCATCTCAGAATTTCCACCACTTTAAATGTTTTTCCTTCAACGCGAGGCACTTTAAAATAAAAAATCAATTAAAAATAAAAAAAATTCTAAACGTTGTAGGGTAACTAAAGGGTTCAAAGTGAAAGCAAATGTTATTTAATATAGCACTGTTCTAAATTGCTAGGAAAATTCGTCTATGTGTCCGATACCCTCAGCAGTCCAGTCCACAACCAAAAAAAAAAAAAAAAGAATTCGCCAGATCAAATAATAAGACGAGAAATATCACGCCGAGAATCGTCCGTTTTATCGACAATTCATGCCAAACCTGCCCCCGACGCAACGAGAGCCAAGAATAGACAAATTTTCGACACTTCCGAAAAATCGACGAAAAATATTGTCTTCAAATTCAACCTTCGACATGACCTTCGGGTACATATTAACATACAGGCGTACCAGCCAGGAACCCCACCGCCGAGTGAACACGCATTCTGGTCGTTTGAAGTTACTTAACCAGGACGTGGGTGGCTGGCCAGAGCTAGCGGAACCGAGTAAGATCCGCGTTCTGGTGCCCAACGTTTAACCACAACCGAGGACCGACAACCAACCTATTTGATATCGCGGCACTAGGGTAAAAAGCCTCAGTTAGTCAAAACTAATACGGACAATGGCAATTCTATACCGTTTCTCAAATCTACAAAGGAAAGCCAGAGACGGCGGTGTCCCAAAACAAACACTTTAATTAAACAAGTTTCTACGGTGCAACGCCTGAACAAATACCATACAACGGCTACAATGTACGACGATGGTATCCCACCGATGATAATGCCTCGATATGGATTTAAAATAATAACAGCTATTTACACGGAACGCAAACAAGCCATATTCTGTGTACTCAAGGCTTGGGAGGGGAAATAAAATAATAGTTGGTTGTACCATGTGCGCTCCCGGGGTTTTTCGGAACAATACCGGGCCAAATGAAATCCGGGTTATACTAACAAACCATATTAGCGATCAAATTAACCAAATAATCAGTGCCTGTTGGGATATATTTAATGTTGTGGAATATTACGTAATTTCGAAACAGGGAACGATATTTAACATTAAATTTTGATGTGTTTATACACTATAGGCACAGAAATTAGGGGATATTAAATAAAATCCCAAAAATTTTGAGTGATTTTTCAGAGCTGTAACTTGGAAGAAAATGGTCGTAGAGAGAATAAAAAAAAGGAAATTGAAGCGTAAAATTTTTAGTTTAGGGATCTGGAGTTTAAAAATTTTTAGCGTCAGCAGTTTCTGAGTAATCATAAGAAAATCAACGAAAAAATTGTAAATATTTGCTTTTCTTTAAAAAGGCCTATAGCCTATTAAATTTTTTTTTTGGTAATTTCACCATAAAGCTCTTAAATAATTTAATTCTCTTCAATTTGAGCTGTTCCGAAGCCTTGTACGATTATTTGTCTCTGTTATCGTCGATCAAAGCAAAAAAATCATTTGTGACTTTGGCAATCAATTATTCGGGAAATAATGGTCGTACAGAAAATCCAAGCAGGGTTTTGAAAACTTAAACTCTAAGTCGTAATTATTGGTTTAGAAAAAAAAATCGAATTGAAAATGTTGGTTGGAAAAAAGGTAAAAAATTGCATAATTAGGGATACATATTTGAATAACTTGGTATAACTTTGCAAATACTGAATAAACTAAGGATATTGGCTGTAACTTTTCAACCTCAAAAAACCCTGATAATTTTAAATCGCTGCGATTTTTGTTTCTTAATGTTCGCAATGTTTATATTTATCGTTTTTGCTGGAAATCAATGTAATAAGTAAGATTTCACTTTTTATTTATTTTTTTAAGTTAAAAATGATTTTTTAGCAATAATCCATATTTTCTTCATCAAAAAACGTTCAGACCGCTCAGAATCAGTGATCATCAGAAACAGAGGCGACAATACGCGATATTAAATTGTGATCTGTAACCTCGAATCAACCAATTTTTTTTAACGTTTGTGAGGCTTGTTAAGAAAAACTTGAAAAAAAATATTTTTTAAGAAAAACATTTTTTTTTTGTTTCTTTTAGAATAATGAACGTTCAGACCGCTTAGAATCAGTGACCAGGAACCTCAAATCAACCAATTTTTTTTTGAAAAACGTGTTTTGTGACGTATTTGAAAGAAAAATTTGAAAAAAATTATTTTTGAAGAAAAAATTTGTTTTTTTCATTCTTTTTAGAATAATGAACGTTTTTTGATGAAGAAAATATGGATTATTGCTAAAAAAACATTTTTAACTTAAAAAAAATAATAAAAAGTGAAAAATTAGTTTTCCAGCAAAACCGAAAAAACATTCCGGACACTAAGAAACAAAATTCGCAGCGATTTAAAATTATCAGGTTTTCTTTGAGGTTACAGTCAGTATCCTTAGTTCATTCATTATTTGCAGTTATACCAAGTTATTCAAATATCTCTAATTGCAATTTTTTACCTTTTTTCCAAAAAAACATTTTCAGTTCGAAAAATATTTTTTCAAAAACCAACAATTACGACTTATAGAGAATACTTTGCTGTTTTCAAAACCCTGCTTGGATTTTCTATACAACCATTATTTCCCGAGTAATTGATTGCCACAGTCAAAAATGATTGACAAATCATCATATAAGGCTCCGGAAGCGTTCAAAATTAAGATAATTAAATTATCTAAAAGAGCTTTACGGTGAAATTACCAAAAAAAATTTTTCAAATCCATAGACCTTTTTAATGAAAGACAAAAATTTGCAATTTTTTTTTCGATGATTTTCTTATGATTACTTACTCAAAAACTGCTGACGCTAAAAAATTTTAAATTCCAGACCCGGAAACTAGAAACCTCAAGCTTCAATTTCCTTTTTTTTTTATTTTCTCTACGACCATTTCCCTCCACGTTACAGTTCTTTGAAAATCACCCAAAATTTTAGGATTTTTTAATATTTCTTAATTTCTGTGCCTAGTGTATGTACATACCTAATTTAATATTGTGATGTGATCCTTACTTTCTAAAAAGTTCCAAGAAAGATATTCAGTTCTTCATGGTATAACCTTTCAAGTCAGTGCTATTCCTAATTACTACTCGTATTATTGCAAATTTAAGTTTAAAAAAATTATATGATAAACTGATTTAATTAATAAATTAAATAAATTTAGAAATTAATCTAATCATTTCATTATGTATAAAAAAATTTTACTTACCCTAGTGATCGATTATTTAAAGAAAGTGGATTGATGGCTGTAAGACAGTTATTTTGTTTGAATATTTTGTTAAAGACTTACCAAAAAAAATATTTCATACCGGACCAAGTAAGTCATACCCTAGTACGAGAAATAGAGACAATTATTTGAATCCGAGGTCTATAAAAACAGTAGGACAACGAAATTTGAATTATCTTTTTTCCAGACTATAATATGTTGCCAAATTCTGTAAAAACCATAAATGTATATAATTGATTTAAGAGTAGAGTAAAGATATGGAGTCAAGAAACAGACAGATGCATTTTTCACAATATTGTCAGCAATAAAAATGAAGTTTAGTTTTTACCTTGAAGCTCTTTTAAAATAATGATGTGTAGATAATTCATTATTATTTAATGTTGGGCGTTGGGTATTAAAAATATATGTCTATATGTATTGTCTGGTACTATTGTAAGTTTTGAGATTAAATGTGCATAGTATATAACATAACAATTTTAAATCGTATTACTAGTCACACACAAGCGGTAGTTTATTTACTTATATTTTAATTGTTTATTGTTATTTATTATCAATTTTAGTAATCTCTAGCATTATTTGTATTATGTGGTTTTGTAAATAAACTTAATAATAATTATTATTATTATTATTATTATTATTATTATTATTATTATTATTATTATTATTATTATTATTATTATTATTATTTTTTCATTGATTGAAATATGAAGTACCTTTGGAATCCAACTGTCCCAGTTCTTTTACTTAATTTGATTAACATTAACAATAAGAATATTCTACAATGATGTATCTGATACTACTTTTTTACATTCGACGTTATATAAATCCCATTTTTATTAGTTCCCGATCCTATCTCCCTGATCTTCCAGACCGAACACTAAAAGACGCACCAAACACAGATCAATATTTTGATGTATAGGCTCTTAAATTTTGATGATCTCTTTGCTGATGTTTAGCAAGGATTAAGGAGAAATATTTACGGTCCGCCTCCAAACAGAATTAAGATCAAGAGTAAAAGAAAAATACGTACTATGCATATATCGGGTGTCCCAAGATCCAGATCATTTAAATGAGAAGCTCCTTTTATATTTCTTTGGTTAAATAACTTAACCCGTATTAAATGCTGATCGAAACTGAAGAACCTTCATCTAAAAGCTATCTAAAACTTAATTGAACACGTGCCTCTTTACGGAATACGTAATCTGAAAAACAGAAGATAATCCCTAGCCCTGACAGATCTGTGACAGGCTACTCCGCTTCCCATTTACGCGGCTATAAGTGTGGTACGCGTCGACAGGCCGCCACAGGGATAATCCGCGCCCCAGAAGCTTATAAATAATGTAACGTGGGCTTTCTGCAACTATACTAATGGTGTTGCCTTTCTCTTTTAGGGCATGCAGTCCACACCGATGTTGAGGTCTTTAAGTTCGGAATCTTCACATAAAAGGGAATGGAAACAGCGTCTCAGTCTCCGGGATAATCGCAGGAGAGATCCGGTAAGTGGTACGACCCTCACCTCACATACTTGATATACAGGGTGATTCGAATCGGTGGGAATTAACAGGAACGAAAATTAAAATCGATTAGAATTAGTGTGTGAATTATCGATATATGAGAAGACTGTCCTTCACTTTTTCGTTCGATTTTTTAAATTTATCGCGCTTTCTCTGACACACATTATAATAGTCTGTTTGATTATAAAGGCCCCGAGCTATAACTCGTTATCAATTTTTGGATAGTATTTTCATTATACTGACGTACAACTTTTTTTTTGTCACCTTGTAGATGAGTGATGACACTTGTAACAAAATCCAGATCCGTGTATTTGTATTTAGAAGGTGTTCTGAAGAGCTTTTGTCGCGAAAACTAATAAATTTACAAACCGATAATTAGAAGAATCCCAAAACACTTCGGATTAAGTAACTTCTTGAAAACGTATCACCCTATGACAGTCATCTGTTGCGTCCGGAAGGCGCCAGCCTATGCTGGGACAGAACAAAGAAACCCATATTTTTAATAACGCGCGAAAACACGAGAAAGGCGTAGAGGCTCCAAATTAGAATTAAATCAAATTGTTAAATTGATAATAATTGAAAAAGAAAGATATATATCAAATAGCTGGTTTTTAGGCGGATTTTCCAAGCTAATCCGTGACTAATCCGTGTTGCTATACGGAGTCACAAGAGGAAGGTGTAGGGTTATTTGTAAGTTTAGTCTCAAAATTATTTAGGCAATTGTAAATTCAGTCAATTAGATGACTATTATCATGGTATAGTTATGCCAAAGCGTCCTGATATTCAAGGTTCCCGCCAGTAAGATAAGAAGAGAAACGTCTGGACCCAAGAAATGGGCGTGTCGAAGCGAGGTGTCGAATTCAGGAGAGATCTCCGAAAAAAGGCAGTTTGTCCTTGGGTTCCACATTGAGCAGTCTCGGGTTAATTTAATGGATAAAGTCATTCCAAATGTTGCTATGGATCGCGCATTTCCTGAATTTCGGTACGCTGTCGCGTGTAAATGAATCAATAATGTTTGTTCGAGTCTGTTGTGTTGCAATTGTTTTGTTTGTTTTGTTTTTATTTTTTTAAACCCTTCCTGGAAAGTTTTAGTGTTTTGTTGTTCTTCCAACTTAAGTGCCACCCTATACAACCAACCACTAGATTATATTCTACATGAGCGACGTACGGCAAGTGTCTGGAATTCATTCTCTGTACGTACCTACAACATTTCTAAGTTCCCACGTATTAATTAAAGTGTAATGATAATTATTATATACTCCCTTTCGAGAATATATATATCTTACTGGGTGTGCAGAAATGGGTAACCGAGTTATAGCTCGGGACCTTTATAATCAAACACACTGTACATAAAAAATTTTTAACAGTTATAAGGATCATAGTTACTCTTAAACCCCAATTTAAAAAATAAGAAATTCATAAAAAAAATCGCACTGACTTTTATAAAATACAGTTTTTTAAAAAAATGTATTGACCCTATACGTTGGAAAAAGATAGATACTTTGCAATGTTCTGAGCAAGTGTCAATGAAATCGCAGTAGTCGTTTTCTTATAATTAAAAAAAAAAAAACATTCACCTCTGTTTATAAAACATACTTTGTAACGTAGAATCTATTATTAAAGTCTCGTCTCGGATTTTAATAACACCCGGTGCGAATAAAGTCTAAATAACCAAAACCATAAACATAAACTTTAAATTAATAAACGTCGACTGAATTTTGATTAGATTTTAAAAATTCCGGCAAAGTTTTGTTGCAAACAAAGTTCAACCAGTACGCAAAAAGCCTTTTGTTCTACATAAATACGAAGTTTTTATCCCTTGTATAACTTCGTGTGTACCCATTCAATAAAATCCACACGTCACCTGTGTACGATCCCATGCGGAAATACGGATAAATACAATTTTCCCCGCCGGTTAAAAAATTACTATTCATAAATGTACGAGACTTTTTCGTTCGGTGTGCTTTTTTTCGAACGAAACTCTTTTTTTCTGGCGCCCGGTCGTGGACTGGTGTATCCCTAACAGTGTACACAGAAACTACATTTAACCCTGACATAAATGTAACAATGGCCCCGTAAAACACAAACAGCGGGGGTGAGGACCGTTTTGTCGGATAAAGGACCGTGTTATGGCCCTTATTGTGTCCCTAGGAAGTTGGGGGTGTCACTTTCGTGCGTGAGACTAACCCCGAGAAAGGTAGGTTATTTATTCTTCCCTGTCACAACAAGAGACGACGGTTATTTATATCTATGAAGTATTTGCGCCTCTTTTAAGTAGTAGAAAAGTTTACTGGTGGAGAAATTTAGGAGTCGAGTCGACTAATTGTCTGTAAAATCCCAGTCCGAAACGTCCAATAGTTAATTAACAATTCACGTTATATAAAAAAGCTATCTTGGCAATGAATATTAACCCTGGCGTCTCTCTTGAAATTCGTCTGAAGATAACGTTATAAAAAAACTATCTTGGCGTAGGTGATTTATCTCTTTTAAAATTACAATAAAAATAAGCTCTAGTTAGTTCAAAAAGAGCGAATTCCCGAGCGGCTTTTGCCTGACCCTGGAACAATTTGTTTCTAGCGCTGTTTTGCATATCCTACTTTGTTAGTTGTAAAGGACAATTTAATTTCAACTTTTGGATCAATTAGAATCTATATCTACAATATTAACTTAGTTTAGTAATTAAACAATTAGTTGCAAAGTACAAACGAAATTAACAAATAATTGGAGCAACAATTTCATATTGGGCTTTGGATTGACCATCTTTTCCATAAACATCCATCGCTTTCTGCAATAATAAAGGTAATTTTCGAAAACTGATATTTCCGCATTTGACCTTTATTTTGTAGTTAACAAATTACTGAACTCTAGGTACCTTAAATTGCAGGTAAAATAATTGCCTGCAACATAAAATAACTAATATTCTGGTAGGTCGTCTAGATTTTCTTGGGCAGTAAAAAATGACGAAAAAACACCATAAAGCCAACTTAGCTTCACTTTTTTCGAGTTACTTTTTTGACTATATTATTCTACATACTCTTCCATGTCATTTTTTCAAGATTTCAGATTTCATGATCTAATTCTACTGGAGTACTCCGCAATCTTTATTTTCTGTTGATAAGAATTTTCGACACAGCCTGCTAAGAACACAAAAAGAAAACAAGTACCTACGTAGTTTTTAAATAAGCGAATATTGTATTAAGTAAACAACACAAATAAATAATAAAAATAATGATTGATATTTTTTAACAACAATAAGAGGCAATTGTTGAAATAAAATAATTTTATTACTAACTGACAAGTTTGAAAGATAAATTCATTGCCTACTACTGACTTTTCAATTATTTCCTAATAAACACTGGTAAAATCTTGTTTCAGTCAATACGGTTTTTCTTGAACACTAGTTTTTTAAAATTTAACAAGAAAAAATTAAATTCTGCTGTGAATTAATATTATTTTTTAATTGTCCATGAAAAAAAGGTCTGTACAAATTTAAGGGTGAGTCATCCCCAATGGACAACTTGTAGCGCTTCAGTTACTTTAAATCATAGTCAAAGAAGACCAGTAATAAACCTAAATCATGTACCAAAGAGTAACCGCAAAAAACCTGTGATTTTCGCCCGTTTTTTCACAATTCGCAGAGAATTAAAATAAATACATAAAAATATATTGAAGGGGTTGAAAAAATGCCAAAAATGAAGAATTTGAAACTATTAGCATGTGAATTATCTTATATTTTTTACAATTATTTCTGACATTCTCTATTTTTGGGGATGATTCCACCCCCTGAGCACGCTTAAGGGTGGATTTTCTAATTCAACATGCTTATTTCAGTCATGAGAATAAAACTTTATTTGTATCAAGAATCATTCGATAGAAAAATTCACATGCTAAGTTTTTATATTTATTGGTAATATTCAATTCTTCATTTTGGGCGTCTTTTCAACCCCTAAATAGGGGTGAGTTTTGAAAATTTTCAAAAAACTAATTTTTTTACGACGAGTAACGTGAGACCAAGAATCAATCTATTTTCTTTACTTTGGTGGCTAATAACTTCTCAGGTGTGCAATTTTGTATATAGGTAAGTTTGGTTAAATTACAATATTTTTGGACACCTCTACAAGCATCTGTCCTGTGTCGGTTCTTATGCGGGACACCCTGTATATTTCTGGATTTTCTAGTTTCAGGAATCTGGCAATATTTTTCCGAAAATGGCGGTACTACGGTTGAGATAGTCGTCTGGTTGTTGTTTTCTGCTGACATAAACTTAGGTATTTTCAAAACAATTGTATTGGGCTAATACTAAAATCATCACTCGCCAAAACCATCACTCAAAAGCGTGAAAGACCACCCTTTGTGAGTTTTTTTTAATGGAGGCTGTTTATACCCCATCTTCTGTATTCCAAGCTTTCAATAACGAATATTCCTTGTAGTAAACTTCTTTAGATTTTGACAGAAGAAATCCCAAAGATGCAGTTTCGACTTCTAGTCGATTATTTTCTAGCAAAGAAGGAACACGCGAGTATCAGTCTTTTACTTGACAAAATACTGCTTTAGTAATTTATTTACCTTTTTTATATTTGCTTCACCAAAGATCCATGTTGAGGCGCCATTTCGTGATGCTGATGAATGATTATAGTATGGCACGGTATTTCATACACCTCTGATCGCTGTGTCGCAACCAGAACCCCCATCAACGTTGCCTTGCAACTAACCTTAATCAATTTCACCTGTGTCAGCTGGCTCCGCAATTTAGCTCGGCTTTCGAAGTGCAAATTGCAATTTCGATTATATGCGGCTCCGAACGTGCATCGAACAAAAATAGGTATTGATCGGCTTGAAACGGTTTGAAAACGCCCTTTTAATATACCTATAAAGCGGCAAAACTGTTTTTTTGTCCAATATTTTTCCTCAATGAAATCGAATAGATACTGTTGTATTTTAAGGAGGTATATCGGGTTTACTAAAATGCACAGATGTACTTG